CCTCACGGTTCAGGGCCGTGGCCCACAGAAGCCCCATGAGCAACCACACGTGGCTTGAGGGGCGACCTGCTTGGCCCAACCCCTCCAGAGCCCAGCGTGGCTCTGCCCGTGCTGGTGCCCAGTGCAGGGACATCCTGGGGAGCCAGGGGTGGGCACCCATGGAACAAAGGATGGGGCACCCATGGAGCCAAGGGTGGGGAACCCCGTGGAGCCAGGGGTGGAGAAACCCATGGAGCCAAGGGTGGGGAACCCCATGGAGCCAAGGGTGGGGAACCCCATGGGATCAAGGGTGGAGAAACCCATGGAGCCAAGGGCGAGGAACTCCATGGGGCCAAGGGATGGGACATCCCATGGGGCCAAGGGTGGGAAAACCATGGAGCCAAGGGCGAGGAACCTCAGGGAGAAAAGGGTGAGGAATCCCATGGGGCCAAGGGTGGAGAAACCCATGGAGCAAAGGGTGGGGAACCCCATGGGGCCAAAGGTGGGGAAACCCATGGAGCCATGGGTGAGGAACCCCATGGAGCAAAGGGCGAGGAACCCCAGGGAGCCAAGGGTGGGGCACCCATGGAGCCAAGGGTGGGGAACCCCATGGGATCAAGGGTGGGGAACCCCATGGGATCAAGGGTGGAGAAACCCATGGAGCCAAGGGCGAGGAACTCCATGGGGCCAAGGGATGGGACATCCCATGGAGCCATGGGTGAGGAACTCCATGGGGCCAAGGGTGGGAAAACCATGGAGCCAAGGGCGAGGAACCCCAGGGAGAAAAGGGTGAGGAATCCCATGGGGCCAAGGGTGGAGAAACCCATGGAGCAAAGGGTGGGGAACCCCATGGGGCCAAAGGTGGGGAAACCCATGGAGCCATGGGTGAGGAACCCCATGGAGCCAAGGATGGGACATCCCATGGAGCCAAGGGTGGGGAACCCCATGGAGCCAGGCACGGGACATCCCATGGAGCCAAGGGTGGGACATCCCATGGAGCCAAGGGTGCGGGGCCAAGACCCACCTTCCCGATGCGCTTCCCCTCCACTGCCAGTGCCTTCATCTTGGAGAAGTAGTGGTAGAAGGACACCACGTAGGTGATGATGGACTTCTCGTCGGGGTCCTCCATGTTGACATCTGCCGGGTGGCGAAGCGTCGGTCCCCCAGCCCCAAAGTCCCCCCCTGACCAGAAGCCCCAACCCGGGGCTGCTCCCCTCAACCCAGGAGCTCCCCCAAAAAAGTCTTTTGAGGTGGAAGATGAAGCCGGATGGGTGGAGATGCCCCACCCCACGTGGACGGACGGGACGGACGGACAGACACACCCCTCCACCACCCTGTCCCGTCCCTACCTTCAGGGTCCAGGAGCTTGCTGAGCCCCAGCTGCTGCTCGGCCGTGTTGAAGGCTTGTTGAAGGTTGAAGGTGGCGTTGGACTTGGTCAACTTGTGGAAGTCGATGAGATCCGGCCTACAAGCAGGGCACAGCCACGTGGAGCCCCCCAACTCTCAGGGGGAACCCAGGTGGCCGGGTTGTCCCCATCCCTCCACCCTCACCCCCCCTGGTGGACCTGTGCTTGTGGATGAGAGCGTTGAAGGCCAACCCATCCCTCCAACTGGTGGTGAAGTTCTGGATGTTCACCTCGGGGTAGCTGTGGGGAAAGGGGTGGGGTGGGGTGGGCACCAGCCCCCCCAGGGGTGGGGACGGCCTCACCCGGGCTACCTGGAAGCGGAGGATGATGGTCCAGATGAGGCCGAGGGTGAGGCGGTGGTTGCCGTCCACGATGTCGTGGGAGCCCACGTTCTCCAGGTGCACCCGTTGCTCCTTGAGGAACTGCAGGGCCTTGTCCACGTTCTCCAAGGAGTGGATCCGCATCCGGCCCCGCGTGGGTTTGGGCTGGTGGGGACACCGGCGCCCGTCACCCCCACCTGGGGCCCACCTTGGAGAAGGTCCTCCCACCCAGTTCATCCCAGCGTGGAGGTGGATGGGACCTGGGGGGTGGGGGTGGTGCTGGGGAGGTCCCAGCTCATCCCAAGCCATGGTAGATGGGATGGTGGTGGTGCTGGGGAGGTCCCAGCTCATCCCAGGCCATGGTAGATGGGACCTGGGGGGTGGTGATGGTCCTGGGGAGGTCCCAGATCCTCCCAACCCATGGTAGATGGGATGGTGGTGGTGCTGGGGAGGTCCCAGCTCATCCCAACCCATGGTGGATGGGAACTGGGGATAATGGTGGTGACGATGGGGAGGTCCCGGCTCATCCCAACCCATGGTAGATGGGTCCTGGAGGGTGGTGGTGATGATGGCAGGGCCCCAGCTCATCCCAACCCATGGTAGATGGGACCTGGGGGGTGAAGGTGGTGACCATGGGAAGGTCCCAGCTCATCCCAAGCCATGGTAGATGGGAACTGGGGGGTGAAGATGGGGAGGTCCCAGCTCCTCCCAACCCACAGTAGATGGGAACTGGGGGGTGATGGTTGTGAGGACGGGGAGGTCCCAGTTCCCCCCAACCCATGGTAGATGGGACCTGGGGGGTGGTGGTGATGACGGGGAGGTCCCAGCTCATCCTGGCTCATGGTGGATGGGACCTGGGGGGTGGTGATGGTCCTGGGGGGGTCCCAGCTCCTCCCAACCCATGGTAGATGGGACCTGGTGGGTGGTGATGGTCCTGGGGAGGTCCCAGCTCCTCCCAACCCATGGTAGATGGGACCTGGTGGGTGGTGATGGTCCTGGGGAGGTCCCAGCTCCTCCCAACCCATGGTAGATGGGACCTGGTGGGTGGTGATGGTCCTGGGGAGGTCCCAGCTCCTCCCAACCCATGGTAGATGGGACCTGGTGGGTGGTGATGGTCCTGGGGAGGTCCCAGCTCCTCCCAACCCATGGTAGATGGGACCTGG